CCATGGAGGTGGGCGCGGCGGGCTTCGAGCGGCGCCTGCCGCGGCTGCGGCGCCGCCTGCAGCGCGCCGCCTTCCTGGGTGAGGCGGCGGCCGCCGCGGGGCACACGGGGCGCGGGGGTCCCCGTCCCCCTCCCGAGCGCGGCAGCGCCGGGCGCTGCGCATGGAAAGTAGCCGCAGAGGCGTCGAGTTCACGTGTGAACTACATATATGTATATATATGTATATATATGTATATATATGTATATATATATGTATATGTATATATGTATGTATATATATGTATATATCATATTAAGGTGCCCTGTGCGTGTGCGTGGGGGCGAGCAGCAGCCGGGGCAGGCGGGTGTCCTGCCGGGGTGGGCGTCTCGCCTCCCTGGCTTGTGCTCCTCATGGAAAGGGCCAACGTGCCGGCTCGCGAGCCAGCATTCAGGCTTTAGTGGATAATCCCTTGTGCAGCAGGCTCCTCAAGAGGCCCTTTTCCTCTCTTGGCGTTGCTGAGCGCCTTAGGGAAACGTCCTGCGGCGGGTGGTAGCACTTCCCTTGGAGCTCGCTGGTGGGCTCGGCCAGGAGGCTGCAGGGAGCAGCACGGTTCGGGGACGCGTGTCCAGAGCAGGTGAAATGAGCGCTCCACGTGTTGGATTTCTGTCCCAACAGGGCTTGACATGGAGTTTACAGGCCTGCATTCAGCCCTCCCACTGAATAACAAGCCAAGGTAAAGGCACTTGAAAGATGAGGAAGAGCGGTGGTGTAGCTTTGCAGAAACAAATCAGTGTATTGCAAAAACACTTTATTTTTATTTCTTTTCCTCTGCCCCACACTTTTTATTATTGTTTTTYGATAGTCTGTTTGATTCCCCGGCCGAGTGGTACGTGAAGGCCAGGCAGAGCGTTCAGCGCTTCACGGTTAGTCAGTTCGGTAAGTGYTGCCCCCAACCAGGAGGAGAAACCCAGCTCCCCAGCTTGCGGCTGTAACCTGCCCTGTGCCAGAGCCTTGGGGATAGTTCTGCAAGTCTCTGCTAGAGACGTTTGTTTGCTAGCATAGTTTATTTATTTATTAGTTAACCAATGTTTAATACCGTCAGCTCTCCAATGTTGTAAGTGATCTAAAGTCAGGTGGGCCATCTGTTTCCAGATGTTTTAAGACTGTTTAAAAATTATATAGTATTAAAGATTATATAGTATGGYTATTATATAGTATAGTATTACTGATATTTTTAAGCTTTTTTTTTGTTTGTTTGTTTTTGTTTTTTGTTTTTTAAATCAACCAGGAAGGGTTGATTTAACCCTTTTAACAACCATGTTTCTGTTGTACCTAGTTACTTTCAAATGCCTGTGTWGTGTAGCTGGCACCCGTTCACCTCGGTACACGTGGCTGGAGGCTCTTGTCACCAGCTTGCCTGCTCTCACTCATTGTTCTGTTTTATTTGCTGCTGAGTCACATCTGACTCCTTTCCCGTTAGCCCTAGACCGCTGCTACTGCCCGGCTGTCAGGGAGCAACTGGCAGTTGCTGTTAAGATTTCAGTGAGTTATTAGTGGATGAAAACCTGGCACCCTGTTAGGGCATTTCCACATCCCTTACCTGATTTTTGTGGTATGAGTAGGCATCATTCTCAAGCATTGCCTTTTCAGCTCAGGTTTCTCTTTCACGTAGGACTGGCGATTTTCTCACATGAAAAGCCAAACAAGTAAGTAGAACACATCCTTTCCACATCAGCTTGCAGTTTTCTGTTACAGCAAAGATAATGAAGTTGAGATTTTTTTGGAGAAGTTTCTGGGTGTGGGTTAATGCCATTACTTGTAATTGTCTTCTAGAAACATTTTATTTCATTTTGCTGTAGGTATGTGGTGCATTCATACAACTTTTATCTCTTTCCCTCAACATTTGGAGCTACGGATCCTGAATTCACCCTCTCTGCATCTAGCATTCGCTTCCTGTCTCATTATGGCTTTGACTATAATAAGGTACATAGTCACTTTAGCAGAAATCTGGAACWCAGGAAGTCTGTGTAACTACAGGAGAAGTTAGAATTAACATCTCCAAATCCTGTATTTCTGTTTTAAGTACCTTCTTGCTAAAGTGTGTATGCAATCACAGTGTGGCTCAATAGGGAGAGCCAATATTGGCTTCAGAGCTGCCACAGAGGCAATGGCCATGTCTGCGTCTGCCTAAACCAGATTTCCCTGTCCTTAAGGCAGAAAGCCCATCGCTAATGGGCTGAGGAGAGCAGGTGTTTAACAGACCCTCCTGGGKCACCTGGACTGTTTTTGCAAGCCCGTCGTGCCAGCTCTACCAGCCACTAGCATGGGGAAGTCTCAGTTTACCTGCATTTGAAATACTCTCATATCTCCTTTGAAAGTAAGGCTATGCTATCACGTTAACAGCTCTGCTTAGCAGTTTGAACAGGAAACATGATGTTATCATGATATTCTTGGAGTATATCTTTAAAGGAAAGGTAAAATCAGGAGGAAAAAAAAAGACTGATTAAAGTTGTCGAAATACTTTCCTCCAAATACAAGTACATCTTTCCTTATGTAAAATACATCTTGGGTTACTTGCAGGCTTTGAGCACCTCTGGTGGGTGGGTGTGTGATCTTCTGAAGATAATGTTTTGGGGATTGGGGACATCAGCATCTGCCAAATACATGGCCATTTTAGTCATGGCTAACCAGCTTTTCTGTAGCTTGATGAAAGAAAGTCTGTGGAGAATGATCAGTCTTTTTCCCCTTCAGTTCCTGAAAGATGGAATCCCCTACATGAATGAGTTGCAGGAGAAGAGCCTTAGGCAGTATCTCTCGGCAGGAAGCTGGAAAGTCCACAGGTGAGCGTTCCCCAGAGAGCTGCCTCTGGGGACCAACACACTGACTGTGTTGGCAGCTCGCTGTCATTCAGGTTGTGCTTTGTCATCCTAAAATTGTTGATGTGATTGCCTTGCTGCCAGCTCTTCCAGTGTGCGGTGATCTCTCCAGAGAAGGGCTGAGATCACAGTATACAGTGTGAAGAACTTAGTGAATGTTTGGGAAATGGTGCTTCTGCATTCCCTCATTGACATCAAGGCATGAGATGACTCCTGTAAAGAGCTTTTTCTCCTTCTCTGTCTCCTTTATCATGCTTCAGTGTCCTGGACAGGGACAGCATGAAGAAGGCCATTGATGAAGTGACATGCTGGATMGGAGGAGCAGAGGAAGAGGAGACTATGATTCTGCGGGATCTGAGTGGTATGAAACGACAACAGTTGGCCAGGTGGACTYGGACGACTTTGTCACTTTTCTTGAATGTCTAGAGCCACAGGTCACTGTCTGTGGCCTGTTCTGGTAACCTAGTCTACTTGGTGTTTAGAAACCAGCTGTGCACTGGCAGAGAAACATCTGTTCAGTCTTTGTATCCAGAAAAATGATTTCCTTACAGCCTTCTCCACCTATGAAGTTTTGGTTTCTCCTTTCTTGTCTCAGGTTTTCAGAGGTTCGAAGTTCAGCTCGTTCTGAGGCAGGCTCTTCAAAATGTTTGGACACAACCTCTTGGGGACCATGAGGTGAGCTGAAAACTAGGATCTTTGGGAAGAAATTTTCTATCTAGGTAGATATAGGTAGCATTTCTGCTGTCTGAAATATGTTGCTTGTATTCCTAAGCATAAGGATTCAGGAGGAGAAGAGAAGAGAAGGGATGTTCTGTGAAGTGTTGATTCTGGATCTCTTTTCTTGGGATCTCACCAAGTTGAGTAACTTTGTTTTCTGTTTCTTTTATAGCCACAAGATGGCTTGAAGTGGAAACACTTATTTTTTTAGGGCRTTTCTAGAAGTACATTTTAGGTGTTCAAGCTTTGCTGGATCTCTCCTTTAGAACCTCCCTATAAAGGCCATAGGTTTTAGTCTTTTTTAGTGTTTTTCATTGACTTTTGAGTTTTGTGTTGAAGACTTCAGTTCTCTGTTTGACTTGTTTTTAGTGGGATATGCCAGTCTTTGTTGCTCCCCTGTACACACCTTCCGCCTCAAACGCATARTTGCGGACTTCTCTAAACATGACATGAAGGAGATAAGTCTGCTTAGAAGTAATTACAGTCTATGTTTATTTAATTAATTWATTTATTTTATTGACACTATTTTGGCCTAATAATCAATGACAAYACAAGGGAAGGGTTTACCCTGTCTTCTCATTTGAAGCACGGCCTTTAAGGATTCAGTTTGTGTGATTCCTCTTTGTTTCCCTTATTTTAGTGCCCTAAATTTGCTGTTATAACAGCACTGAGTAAAACTGTATTGAGTCCATTTGTGTTTTGAGGATCTGTGGTACCAACCATCCTCTTCTAGGGGTATATTGCTAATATGTCTCTTCAGAGTGAATTTTGGAGCACTGAAGAAAAGTGAGTCATTTCTAAGGTCCTGAGGAGTGCACTGTTTTTCCATCCCTGACAGACTAGAAACTGAACTTGTGCCCTCGTCTTTACTGAATCCTAGTAAGCAAGATACACGCTGCTGGTATGGGAGGGTGGGAGACTTGGTGACTGTTCTTTTCAGGTGATGGTGAAAAAAGTGAGTCCACAGCATCGCCGGCTTCTGGAGAACTCTCCCCGTGACTCCTGCCGGRAAGAGCTCATTCTTGCATCTGCCCGGGGCTTCACCAACCTCTTCCAGGCCCTTGTTAAAGCCAAGAAGGTAACCCACCTCAGCCCTGTTTCTATTTTCACATTTTTCTCTCCTTTTCCTTTTTTTTTTTTAATTTTTGCTTTTGTTGTTGTTATGCAACACGGGAAGTAGAGGGTTTATTAAAGGTAAGTGCTCTATACTGAGTATCTTGAATCATTCAGTGTATGAATGACTGTGTGCTGGCTTTAACATCTCCTTTGCAGTTGATAATGAAACCATGATGAATTTTTAGATTACAATTGTAGTCAGGAAAAAGCAGCCRTTAGGTATAACATCATCTTGCTGATCCTACTCCCACACAGGCTCAGAATTATTTATCCTTTTTCCCTTTTATCCTTTATTTCCCTTTTGTTATTTCTGCAGACCAAGCAAGACCAAGGGAAAGGGAGCCAGAACCTAATCTGAAAAAAAAAAAAAAGAAAAAAAAAAAAAAAAAAAAATGTTTCTTAAACGACTTCAGAAAATGTAGGCATTTACAATGTTGAAAATCCTGGTACTATTTTGCATGAACCACCATCTCAGCTGAGCAAGCTCCTGCTTTGCAGTTATCTGCAAACAGGCTTATTAGAGCACCCAAACCATTACTCTGATGATATGTGGCAATTCTTGTGTTCTACATGCAGATTATTGAAAGCATTTTAGTGTTTGAAATGTTTATGGTTGCTGGACAGTCATGGATGCTCTCTGCTCTGGTGAGTGAGATGATAAATCTGATTGCTGAAATACTTTACTTGGTTCAGATGGACAGGCAGACCATACTCTGTGACTCTTTAGGTCCCCTCAGACCAGAATATTACTGAAAAATACCCTCTTTGAGAGAGCACAGGTCTGCCTTCTGGAAGGCACTAGCYCTGCTGGGACTCCTGCCACCCGAGTGGCTCTCAGGTGTGCACGTGTGGGAGCACGTGCTCCAGCGGGCTCCTCTRTTTGTGTTCCTCCACAGCCGCTGGTGGGACACAACATGCTCATGGACCTTCTGCACCTTCACGACAAGTTCTACAAGCCCCTTCCAGGTAACACTGTGCCCAGCTGCTGTCCCCMGTGGGGCTCACCAGACCCACTCTGCAGTAGGGACAGAAGAGTCAGCACAGAGGTCACAGAATCACAGAATGTTCAAGGTTGGAAGGGACCTCTAGAGATCATCTAGTCCAACCTTCCTGCTCTAGCAGGGACACCCAGAGCACAGGGCACAAGGTGGCATCCAAGTGGGTTTGGAAGATCTCCAGAGAAGGAGACTCCACAGCCTCCCTGGGCAGCCTGTGCCAGGGCTCTGTCACCCTCAACTGGAAAGAAGTTCCTCCTCACCTGGAGACGGAACTGCCTGTGTTTCRGCTTATGCCCGTTTGCCCTTGTCCTATCACTGGCCACCAATGAGAAGAGCTTGGCCCCTTCTTCCCTACCTTCTCCCTTCATGAACTTATMCATGTTAATCAGATCCCCTCTCAGCCTTCTCTTCTCCAAGCTGAACAGGCGCAGCTCACTCAGTCTCTCCTCATATGAGAGATGTTCCATTCCCTTCATCATCTTTGTTGCTGGATCACTGGCCACCAGCAGGGCTTGGCCAGCTGTGGTGCTGATCATCTGCCTCTGCTGGTCTCTTACTGCTGGGATAAGGCCTCAGTCCTCTGACTGTCTCCCTCTTATTATGTAGAATACCCTGGCTTTTCCTCGCCTTTGTGATGTCTTTCTCACATGTGTCTTGCTTTCTTATTTCTGGGTCAGAAAGCTATGAGGAGTTTAAAAGGAACATTCACAGCTTGTTTCCTGTCATCATAGACACCAAGACTGTAACAAAGTCTGTCTGGAAGGTGAGATGTAAAGGTCTTTTTTTATTTGGAATTCGTTACACAGCTGTAGCTAGTTCTCAGTGTTACCATTAGACATCCTGATTTCGGATCACATTTAATGAATTAGCAGAAGAGAAAATKAGCTCGCTTCTCACAAGAGCTGTCTCAATTGATTTTCTTACCCATTCTTTTACAGAATCAYCCATTTCCTCGAGTATCTAATCTGTTGGAGGTGTATGAGGTTTTGTGCAGGTAAGTGGGAACTATAAGTGGTTGAATAATCCCTTTGTTTTTTGAGAAACATTTCCAATCAGTTACTACATATATTCTTACTTTCATTTCGAATATTATTTATTTTTTATTTACCCATTTTTCTAAATTTAACATCTCAAACTTGCTAATCTTATGTATTAGTTATGAAGTAAATTATTTATTTTTTTTGGTAAAGGCTACTTCTCCTGTCATAACATTAGGGGCCTAGAGTCTATAAAATATATTCTGGTCGGTGTTCTATAACATAAATGTGTCCAGTCGATTATATATCGAATGTCATTGTAGAGAGATCTGGACTCCAGAGTACCAAGCAGAGAGCTTCATTCATGGGTTTCCATCCTTATTTCATTGGTTTCAAATCTGGCTTGCAGATAGCTGTATTTCAGAGTATGTTGATGACCTGTTACGAAATGAATAAGCATTCTCACTGAAGAATTCAKTGAAAATACATTCTAACTGTGTGTGTAAGCCCCTTGGAGAGAACTGCTCTCAGTACTGAGCCCAGTGCCGTAGCTAAATATGTGTTAGATGGAGCGAATCTGTAAACATGGTGTATGKGGAGCTTAGACATGATTTGGTAGAAGATTTTTCTTTTTGAGAYTTATTCTGTGAATGCTTATAATAAGCAGGGCCTAGTCTCTGTGTTGTTGTTGTCGTTAGTTGGTTCTTGTGGGTATTCTTGTGCTTTCTCATTTCTTTTGTTTCAGTCACAACTCTCTATTTATTACTCTATCCTTCAAAGCCCAGAGTTGCCCATTGTATTAATTTTAGTGGATTTTTTGTTTGTTTGTTTTTGTTTTAAGAAATTAGAATAGATTTGTTTCTGAATGAATTTGGCTGGGGGAAGAAACTAAGGTAGTGTATAGGAGTTAGTTTTCAGGAAGTAAACTATTAACAGATATTCAATTAAGTGTTGCACTTTTTTTACTAACAAAATTCCTTTTAAAAAWTTWAAMMAMYWWTTTTYTTTTTCTGAAATGAAATCACCAGAAAGCAGGAAAAACGGGCACATAACTTATCTTCTCCCTGACATGCTAAGGAAAGAGACAAATTTCACACATCTGCTTGTTTGCAGCAGCGACCTAAATCCCACAGATCCAACGTGCCCAGTGATTGTTCTCGCAAGTGGCTGCTCAAGATATGGTACGTTCCTCTAGGCACATTTTCAAAGACAGGTATTTAAAATGGGTGTATTTTACTCTGTGGATATCCATTTATGCTTTGCATKTGGGTCCCAGGCCAGTGGTGAATTTGCTGGATTTCTGATGTGCTGCTTTCCCAAGTCCTGCACTTCCCCTGGCAGCCAGCGATGGTGCTGCAAGGCAGGATGCAGAGCTCCGCCTTGAGCTGCCTGCACAGGTGACATCTGTGCACAGTTGGGCTGAATTAGCCGGACTTGRTGCTGTCAAAAGCCCTTAGAAAGCAAGGAAGTGGTGGTCCCAGGAGGGAAAATAATGGGAGCAAGTAGGAGGAAGGTCCCAGAAAGTAGCAGGAGCGGCTGTGGCTCCTGCTGAAAGTTCGTGGGTTTTGTGCTCAGTGCTCTTCAAGGGATACTTGCTGCCCAGGCAGAGGGTCTCTTCTCCAGGCTGCCTCCTGGGTACACTCTGAAATGATTCCCAGCCATCAGTAGCACACAGCTCTGCTCTAGGTTTTTGTAAGAGATAATTTTATTCTTTATTTGCATCTTGCTAAGCTTTACAGCTTTTGGTGTAACTGTTGCCTTTTGTTTCACTTTAAWTATATTTCACTTTTCACTTTTATATCACTTTAAAATCTGCAGTGGAAGGGTAGGCCTCTTATGGGGAATGAAAATTTAAAAGGGAGTGGGGTGGAAAAAGACAAAACAAAACAGGAGGTCTTATGGCCGCCAGGGTTCTGTGATTGTGCATGGTGTGTGGGAGGTGTTGACCCCTCTCATTTTGTTGGACAGCTGAGAAGTCGTCGCCCCATGAGGCAGGCTACGATGCCTTTCTCTGTGGCTCAGGTAAAATGCTTCTAAACACTTCTCAAATACTCATGTTGAAGCAYAGCCATTCATTTCCTGCTCTGTAACTTTATTTATTTAATGGTAAGTGATATTTGTTTATATATAGTCTGTTCTTAGCTACTTATCTGCACTTCAGTGAGTTTTTGCTTTTTGTTTCAGTTGCTTCATTTGTTTAGTTTTGTCTTTATGGCTTTGTTCTGATGCCCCTTCGTTGTTCCTCCTTGTAGTTCTTCTGAAAGTAGCTCACTTGCTACTGTGTGGATCATCAGGGTGAGTGCTCTTTAAATGTTTATTTCTCAAAAAACTTTACTTGGATGGATCTTATGAAAATCAGCTGTCAGTTTGCGTTGGATAACTTTGCGTTTTACAGTCTGGCTTTGCTTTAGAATAGGAGAAAATGTTATTGAAAAATGTCACAGTTCTAATTAGATTGTGATTTTATGAATCCTTAACGTAGCAGCTTTATGTCAAAGCTGACATTTTCAAAATGAAATCAAGGGCCATGAGATGGCCGAGACGTTGGGAAATGACATTGTGAATCCTATTTATCCTTGAACAAGCTCTCAGAAGTTCAGCTCACTTGGATAAGGTTCAAGTCATTTTCCATTCATTTCCATTTTGAGCTCCAAATGATGCAGTGGCTTCAGGAAAATTCCTAGCAGACAACTGTTCACGTTCCTTTGCTTCTAGCTTTATTTCTGTAGAGGATACCAGGGCTGGARATACCTGTCCTGTAGCCAGGAGGGCTGCTGCAGTCGGGAGCTCTGCAAGCAGCGCAGAGGTGGCGCCCGACAGGGCAGCTCCGGAGGAACAAAGCGTCACTCTCTTGTTTCCTTGCTCAGTGTCACAGCAGAGAATGATCCTTCTTTCCCCGAGTATCTCGGCGCGTTGGTCAAGTGCCAGAACCAGGTGCATTTCAGCGGCGGCGGCGTCTGCAGCCTCGTGCGTATGGTTCATCGCAGCGGTTTGCGGGGCGCGGGGCTCGCGGCCTACGTGGCGGCGCTGCCCAAGGAGCAGAAATCCACTCGTGCCTGCGCCTACCTTGGCGGGAGTTTTCTCCATGCAAATGGCACAAATGACCTTCTGAAATAGCAAATTAATTGAATTCTGCCTCACGTACTCATTTGATGCTGTCACACTGGAAGATGGCATCGGGCAATTTATGCTGCCCTTAATTCTCTGCTCTGTAAGGCAGCTGGATGTTGTTCTGTTTTCTTTTGTGTGTTGTTTGTTTGTTTGTTTGTTTTTCACCATGGCAGTCGTGCCTCTTTGCTTTTGTGATTCACTTGGAAAAGTTCTGAGACAAAAGCAAAATACCCTTACACCCCTGCTTTATTTTTTACTGCCTGGCTTATGCATGCGTGCCACTTTTTGCATGTGTTCTGGTTATGTTAACTGTGCTTCTCTGTTTCAGAACTCAGATATGTCTCAATATTCTGCATTTTCCAGAATTTTTCGGGGGCAGATGTGCCTTGCCGACGTCCCCCTCTCTTGGTTGTCCGCATCCAAGGCTGTCGAGGGCTCAGTGAATGGCACATTTACCATGAGTTAAAAACCCTCTGTCACTTTCATGTCAAACGGCTTTCAGAGAACCAGTTCATTTTGCAGTCCAATAAATTTAAGCAGTAAGTGACAAGTCTTCACTCCCTCTGCAACTCTTAGATTGAGAGATTCCTGTCTGGAGCTGTGAGGGGCCCTAAGCAGTCTGCGAGTCTTGCTCACCCCATCTGCTCCTGTTGCAGCACCAGGCTGGCCCTGCGCGACTACAAGGACCACCCCCACCTGCAGATTTCTCTCTATCGCCACTGGAGGCACTCGCCGAACATCAGCTGCCTCCTGCAGTAGGTTACAGTGTGACAGGAAGGGTGAGGGAAAAGCACCTGAGTGTGGAGGACCCAGGACAGAGCAGTCTGTTGCTCCTCTGCAGCCTCCTCTGCCCAGCAAGGGGCTGGGGGGCAGCTTCCCATCGGGCCCAAGGGTGGGAGCTCCTGAGCTTTCCCTCTGGAAATGGCCCAAGGGTGGGAGCTCCTGAGCTTTCC